ATGATAAGGTAGGGTCAGCCTCTGCCAGACCTGCAGCAAATCATCCAGGGACAAACACTGGAGAAGATATGAACCCTAAATGAACTTTCTTCCTGCCAACAGGAACCTGACTCATCACCGCTCCAGATCTCATGGCTTTATGGACCTATTTGTGATCTGAAAACAAAGAACTGCATCTTTTATTTCCAGATCAAAGGGGGGATATGTTGTGCCATATGCCATGATCATACTTTTTGGACATTGGGAAGCAGTGTCCATATTTCATCCTGATAGGATGACCAGAGAAGAAAACGCAGCTTTGATGAATAACAGCTTGGGGACTTCAGCAGCCCTCCTTTTTCAGCCAAAGCAGCCACATGGAAGTCACAGAGGTGTGACCAACCACCATCCCCCCGCTGTGAGGGCAGAACAAAACCACAGAGCACACAGGATTCTTTCCCTCTTTTGCCTCTTCACTTTTTCTCCCTCGTCTGATCCAGCCTGCTTCTGCTCCTGCGCTCAAAGCTGGGGCCCACTGTGGCCCACAGTGGAGATGCAGGCCCCAGGGAAACCAGATCCCCAGAACCATCAAGGATGAGTCAGAACTCTTCAGAACCTAACTGCTGCAAACAGAACCTTTGCAACACATTTCTCTTGAGTTTCAGAACTTACAGAGCCAAACTGGATGAAGACCATGCCCTGGTGTGAGACTGAGGGGACCCCTGCTGTGAGACTGAGACAAAGAACCCCTGACTGCAGAGCTGCAAAACTGGATGAAACTCAAGCTTTCCAAACGGACATGGAAAAAGGTTTGCAGGTCTGGCATGATTAGGGACAGGAAAAGCAATATGTCTTTTGATGATGCTAATCATATTGTGTGTTTACTGCTGAGTAAAGACAACGCTAATTGATGCTAAAGAATGGACTGCATGCTACGCTATGGTACAGGAATATATGTTGAGCTGTTGCTAAAGCTTAGACAAGCTTTATTCACTAAGGATTTAAACACTGATGTAACATTAGTGTTCATGTGTTCCTCAAATGCTCATTACATTTCCATTACCAAGTCTGACCAAGAGTCATTTAGTGGAAGCCTGATGTCTATTCGCTGCTAGCTATTTCAAAGAGGGTAAAGAATCATTTGACTAAAGGTTTTTGGTTCTTGATTAAGCAAATCATTTAATAAAACATTATTTGGCCAAATAATGTTTTATTCATCTCATGGATTTGCATTGTGAATTGGTCTGAAAACATTCCAATTTCTTTAAAATTAGTGAAAAGCTAATTTGATCACATTCCAAATTATTCCAGATAAACTTTGGTTTCAAACACAGAATCCATCTTAAACTGTAATATGGTTTTCAACCGTTTTCCCCTTCCTCTTTGTACATAGTAGTTAGTTTAGTTTAGTTGAGTTTTACTAGTCTTAGTTGAGAGTGTTAAACTGAAATATGTTTGACTTGGAGCTGAATGATTTTTGTTAATAAAATCTTATATTTTGAACAGAAGTTGTGGTGAATTTATTCCATGTATGTGCAGAAATAACTGTTTGACCATGATTAGTGCTCGAATCACTCTTTCATTTATTGTTCTAACACACAGTTAGTAGGACTGTGTGTCATAAACAGTATATAACAGCTGAAATAATATCTGATTAAATAAGATATTTTACCACCCCTACAGGGGAGGGCAATAAACATCTTAAAGTATCAAAAACATAAATTCCCAGCGGGCTGGGAATAGAATTTAACTATAGAATCACAACACTATCATTACATTTGATTTTATTTGTTCCTGCTCCCGGTGGTTGGAATCTTTATTCCACTCTGGATTCTTGTGAGTGTAGTCTTTGTTCACTTTAACTTTTTTTAAAAATAAATAAATAAACAAACAGTTTTGAAAACTTCTGTATTCATTCTTTTCCTGCTTTGTGTGTCAACTTTCACGGTTGCTAAGCAACAGAGCATACTCGGTAAAACCCGCTGAAGGGTGGACCTGTTCAAATTTACAGCCAAAGCTCTTCCGGCCTCCTTATTTTCAAGGACTTCAAAGGATCCAGTCTAGGTAGACCGCGTCCTTGGAGGATGCAGCCCAGGATTTCGAACAGAGCCTCTGATTAAGAACAGGGCTGCCCGCACTGACGCGGCTCAAGGATTACGTCACATGCAGCGTCTAAAAAATCTGGACATTTCCTCACTTTCTAAAAAAAACCCGGGACGCCCGGGACAGGACGTGAAATACGGATATGTCCCGGGAAATACGGACGTTTGGTCACCCTATCTAAGCCAGCTATTGCACTCTTGAATGATGCCTTCCATCTCCAGTAATTTATGGGCTGATCATCAAAGGAACTGAGCCCTGAGGATACCATGTAGCTGCGGGCTAAAAATTTAGCAAGATCTCTGGTGAGATTGAAAGACTGGTAATCTGTACGGTCAGGCACTCTGAGGCTAGAACGCCACGGAGCAGGTACAGGTGGAGGACCATTGCTTGAATGAGGTAGTGGACTATTACCTCTCGGGGCGCTTAGAAGAGGAGGTGGGCCATAATCAGTAGCTGTGTGATTTATTGGTGCTTGTAGATCTGTAGCAGCACAGAGATTTGACATGCTATCTGCATCTGCACTCCTCATCTGATATGGTGTGGCACCTGTATTAGCACTCCTTTGTTCTAGCACATATTTGGAGACAAGTTGCTTTGCAGTTTCTTCTAGATCTGAACTAGAAGCATAACTCCTTATCTCATAGCCCATTTCCATTAATCCAGCTTCTTGTGTTTGCATTTCAGTTCTTGCAGTTTCTAGCTCTTCGTCTGCTCTGAGCGAATCAAGTGCAGCTTGCAGACGTGCTTGCTCCAGTTTAATTTCTGCCTCCTTTTCATGAATGTTGCTCTAGTTTGAGCTGCTTCAGCTTTCATCTTAGCTTGCAAAAACACAATGCTAGATCTGGAGCTAACTGAAGCTTGGACACCATGAGATGCTAATGATTGTGTCTAAAATCTCGCTGATGGTCTGCGCTCCATCATTTAAAGAGTGCTTAAAAGACAGCTCAGTAGATGTAAGCCACTTGTGAGTTTGGTTGCCACTTAGCTTTTAAACAGTGCTGCTCCGTGCTTGCTGTGATGCTGTCTTTTCACAGGTTCAGAGTCTGACTGGGACCGGAAGCATGACCAGGTGGTCACGCACAGGAGCAGACAGGATCAGGTGCAGACAGGCAGGCTCAGTGGCAGAGGGTAGCAGAGACAGGACGTGGAACCAGAACTTGATGCAGGACTTTAAACTGGTCTCCTCCCCGGAGCCAGGCTTACTGAGATAAAAACTGAACCTCCCCACATATAGAGCCAAAAACCCAGAGGACTCCGCGGGGGAGGAACAGTGGACGATCAGGAGACGAGACAAACACAAAACTCTCTTTCCACTGGCCGCCAGGATCCAGGACAAGAACCAAGGCAAAACTGAACAGACAGACTCACAGAAAACAAATAATGATTTGGCACTGAATTCTCAGGCTGAACTGAATATAACCCAAAGGAAACAGGTGAGAGGAATAAATGAAAATTGAGGGAAAATGACAGGTGAGAGACAGTATAAGTGAGTAGTAACCATTCAGACCACTTCATACCTATTGGTGGCAGTAATGCACCATTTCGTTGCATGCCATCAGCCAATAAAGTACCATAAAGAACAAGACCAGTCTAATCGGCAGATTTGGAGCAGGTGTGAAAAGAGGAGTTTAGAGAAAAGGAGACTGACACAAGAGGGCAACAGAGGGCAAACAAGAAATACCTAAGAACTCATATACTTAAAAAAAAAAGCTAAAAAAAAAGCTAGAATAACACAAAATGGAAATAAAACCAATGAAAACTTAAACAGAACCAAAACCATGACATCAAGGATGTGGCAGGTTGGCGAGAAGCTCTGCATCTGCAATAAAGTCAAAGAAGTATCCTTTAAATTCGCCATGATATATAGCCTACAGATATAACTTTTAACTTAAACGATTTGAATTAAACATTTAACTAAACTGTGACTTTTGCCAACTATAACCAGAACATCATTTACCTGTTTTACCTTTCAACAAAGAGCCTGTCAAAAGGTTTTGGATTATCTGTTGCTGATTTATTTATGACTCAAAAATCGAAAAAAAATGCAGCTTTGAAGAGGTTTTGAAGCAGAAGTCCGGTGACATTCAGAATTCAATCTACTGAAAGTACTTTAAATATGACATTTTTACATACTGTTCAATAAGTGATAAGTGTTTTTAATTAAGAGTGATTTTCATTTGAATGGGCTTTAATGGAGGCATCCATGTTTGTCACGTCACGGTACATATTACGTGTTTTTTTTTGTTTTGTTTTTTACCTTTCCCCAGTGTATTCCAGCATCCAGCTGCCATGCACGCGGGCATTGTCAGTTTCATTATTGCTCTGGTGAATTAACTTTATAATTCATTAAATCACCGCAAACGTATTAGTTCTAGGTATAGACAATGATCCATTGATCATACCTTGCTGACCGGACTTTTTCTTTAATGTGCAAATTGGGGATTCAAAAAGTAATTTTGGAAACTGTTTGCTGGATTTAAAAAAAATCAAACATTAAATATTATTTTCTCAATCATTTTAAATGGGTAAAAATGAAGCAGTCTTTAAGAAGAATATGGAAATGCAGTTTAGATGACCTGTAAGTATTTCATTCATAAGTCAAAACATGCTACCCTGCAACAGACTGCCGACCCGTCCCGTAACATTAAAACAACATTAAATGTTTATTCAAATGTTATTTTTCATTTTAATATACTTATTGAAAAGTATTGCAGAACAAAATTTGAATGTAACTTGGTTGACTTATTTTTTATTTAATCTTGAGTCAAAAATGCTGCTTAAAAAACATTTTTAATTTAATCAGAGTAACACTAGCTTCCATAGAGTTGAAGTTTTACATTGATATTCCTGAAATGGGCTCACACGCTGGCAGGATGTGCAGCACTTAGTCAGTTTTATCCCACAGAGAACCATCTGGCTCCAATCCAGCTGTTTATTTCATTATGTCCAGCCCCACCCTTTACAAAGATTCTGGCATTTCTTTCCACTTCAGACGTGATTCTCAGGACAAAAAAGAAGAAAAGGCACAATGGTAAGGTAATATCAGCTATCTTTATAATTCGTATTTGATCATGCAACAAGGCCTCTACTTGTTGTACTACGGGGAGAAGTGTTGAACAATTTAATTTTGTGCAAACTAAATCCTTTTTATAGATGGAAACTCTACACAGGTGAGATGCAGGAATAGTGCATGGTTTTATTATTTGATGCTTTCATAGCTTTTATAGGATTTTGAAGCTGTACTTAGAGTGTGGCTAATGAGTTTTCTGGTTCATCTGAGATTAGGGGAACTGTTTCTTTTTCATCAGGTTAACTGTATATGAGACACAAAAATGTATAAAAATATATGGAATTTTATTTTAAGTCCTATTTCTGACCCCACTGGATTTGTTTTCTGCGTTTTGTCAAATACTGCAGCTAAGGGGAATGGTCATCGCTCTGTGCCTACTTTTCATCCCTATCGGTAAGCCTGTTTCACTCTTAAATAAATACTCACACAGTGAGGTGTCTGAATTTTGCCCTGAGGTGGGAGGCTTGGATTTTAGGGTAAAGTCTGGAGCTTGAGAGTCTTCTTTTGAGAATTATGATAAACAGAATTTCCCTTCTGTTGTTGTGTAGCCGGCTCATCAGTCAGTAGAACCAGCCCTAATCAGTTTATCCTGGGATTGGTTAGATCACTGTTAGTTCATGGCTTTAATCCTTTTTTAGGTTTTAACACTTGTTCATATTTAAATTTCCTCTTCTGTAGATTTCATGTTGATTTTAAGAAAATACATTGGAAGGGATTATATGCAACATAATATAATATATTCTGCAATACTTTCCAGGAAAATGGAATTAGGTTGACTGTGTAAATAAATCTTTTTTATTTATATTTTTCCCTTAACATAGCTGGTCATACACTACCATTCAAAAGTTTGGGCTCACATTGAAAAGTCCTTATTTTTTAAGGAAAAACGCTGTACTTTTCAGTGAAGATAACTTTAAACTACCGGTAGTCTTAACTTTAAAAAAATACACTCTATACATTGCTAATGTGGTAAATGACTATTCTAGCTGCAAATATCTGGTTTTTGGTGCAATATCTACATAGGTGTATAGAGGCCCATTTCCAGCACCTCCAGTGTTCTAATGGTACAATGTGTTTGCTCATTGGCTCAGAAGGCTAATTGATGATTAGAAAACCCTTGTGCAATCATGTTCACACATCTGAAAACAGTTTAACTCGTTACAGAAGCTACAAAACTGACCTTCCTTTGAGCAGATTGAGTTTCTGGAGCATCACATTTGTGGGGTCAATTAAACGCTCCAAAATGGACAGAAAAAGAACTAGAAGAACTAAAGAGTGTGAAAAATGAAACAACACAAAAACAATTAAATTCAGTTGAATTTAGTTTATTTCTATAGCAGCAATTCACAACACATGTCATCTCAAGGCACCCTACAATTCACCAGATCACCCGGTCAAATTGATTTAAAGTTTTCTATCTAAAGAAAACCAGTTGATTGCATTGAATCATTGACTCAAAGTCCATTTCTCACAACAAACATGCTTGGAGCGACAGTGGAGAGGAAAAACCCCCTTTTAACAGGAAGAAACCTCCAGCAGAACCAGGCTCAGTGTGAGCGGCCATCTGCTGAGGCCGACTGGGGTTCAAGGAGAAAAGAAAATGTTTGGGTAGAAACTGAACTTATGCTGGATGCTGATGATGATTTGTTATTACGCTATATTGAATTAAGTGCTCATTACCTCATATTGTGTTCCTATGAATGGAAAAATAATATCGCTCTTGCTCACCTTGAGCTCCAAGGAACTCAGAGCGGAACAAAACGGGAGGAACCGCAGAGGCTGCAGGCTTTGCACAGGCGGTCTGGAGCAGAATGGGGAAGAGCGGTTATGGAGGGTGTGTTATTTGGGGGTTACGGTCCTTATAAATCAATAGAAATATAATGAGCCATGGTGTTGTGTCTATCATTATGTGGTGTAGGAGTATACAAAAATGGGGTAGAGTAGGAAGTAAGATGTAAGGAAGGAAGACCTGATGTCACAGTACTGCTGAACATGTTATGAATAAATGCTGTTAATACTGTAGTTCATTGTCTACTTGAGCTTCTACCTCGTCCTAGCTTCTAAACATTAAACATGGTGCTGTAGTGTTTCCATGTTTTTGCTGTTTTGGAACATGGGAATATGTGCTCATTCAAGTGGATTGAAATCTCCTGTATAGGAAGGAGGCAGAACTATGATGCCCTCTGAAGAGAAGGATCTGACTCTAAATTCACTATCCCTCTGATTCTTTACAACTAAGTCCTTTTTCTTCATGGCAGAAAGCTTAAGCTTCACTGGTTGTGTTACCACCTCAAGCCTTTCACATACCTACTGAGCCACAGAGTTATGACTGCATTGTGAATCCAATAATGCATAAATGTGTATTTCAGATTTAAGGGAGTTATATGAAGAGATCCATACAGGAACAATCTTTCTCCTTCACTTTCACTAATGCAGCATGACTGTTTAGACATGTTTTCTTACATATGCAAGATCCCCTGTGGACAAGATTTACTTGCTGGAAAGTGGTCCTCGTGCAAGGGTGTGGGGTGTTTGCGTTTGCATTGGCCACGCATGGAGTTGTTCTTACAGTTTTTGGTAATATGACTTGTCTTTAGACATGCAAAGGACATTTTATTTTCCTGCACACTTTTCCTCCACAGTCATGTCTGACAGTTGACACTTATGACTAGTGTGGGGATATTCACCATGCCTGCGCAGCAGCACTTGTGTTTTACTTAGGGTAAACAGTGAAAGACTTTATGGACTAGCTTAGCATGAGAGAAACACCGGACAACATCTTCTCCTTTAGCTGGCACTCCTTAACTCCACCAGAGTCAGCCATTTTATTGAGATACACAGAAAGAACATGGCGGGGGCGTGCACGAGCACTGACGTCATCACGCCACACAGTAAACATGTCTTTGCCCAATCAACAAAAATATGCTTAACAACTAGACCTGTGTAAAGCTTGACTTTCCTGTCTATCTGCGTTTTCTACCCTGATCTTCGCCATGAGTCTCTGTTTAGAAACTGAACTTGATAATGAGTGTTTCAACTCATTTGCAAAATTTTGCCATTACCACATGTTTTCAGTAAGTCACTGAATTGTCTTAGTCTAACGTAATCTTTAATACCAATCCTTGCTTTCCAATGCAGACATTGCTTTTCCAGCCAAATATCTAGATTAATTCATGGATCACCTTAAAACACAGATTATTCAGGAACAGGAAGTTGAGTGAGAATTATTGATCCTTGCAATGCTTCTTCTCTGGAAGAATTGTCTGAACTCACAGTTTCAGGATTGGTGAGGAGTGGCCTTATGGTCCCTGTGAGGGTCCACAATAGTGTTGCTAAGTTAGTGGTTTGTTGCTATATATAAAGAATTTTCAAACATCTCCAGCACCTTTATTTAAAAAAAAAAATGTCTAGCACCAAATCCAGCAACCTTTTTTGCACTGACTCTGTCCTCCTGAGCGGGGAGCGAGTGGTTCCCCCTGCCTCCTGCTCTCTTAAGGGCTTGTTAACCTCCCACAGCAGTGTGTCGCAGTGTCACAGGTATGGCGCAGATATTTTTGATTTATGCCCAATCTTGAAGCGTGGTCTGTGCTATGTTAATCCACACCACAATGCAAGAGGGACAATCACAAACCAGCTGTGGGTTTAGATATAGCTGAGGCGGTGGGGAAGTGGAAATATGCAAGGGGCAAGTTTGTGCGACAACGGAGAGACAAGAGGGGGGAAAAGAGCGGGGATCCAGGAGGAAAAAGGGTCCCAGCGTTCTGCTCTTCTAGTTAGTCCATCCGTCAATAACCTGGGATATGACCAGCCCTTCTACAGAAGACTGGATAAAGGCAGAAACAAACTGGTATCAGAACAAGAGCATGTTCCAAACACTTTTCATTACCTTCTCCTGCAACATCAGACCTTTTTACAGGAATATCTTACAGGAATATCATAACCATGCTTTTCCAACAAGGCAAGGCAGAACCTATTTATATTGTCCATTCACCAACAGACTCATTTATATAGCAAAGCTCACTCTGTGAAAGAAAGAATAACTTAGAGAATAATTGTATTTTGTCTGTTCTCACCTTTTCATGTCATTCAACATTTCAGCTTAGAAAATGTCAAACAGTGTCATGGTCTTGGTTCTGCTGTTCTTTACTTTGCTCCTTGTTTTCTAGATTTATTGGTTTAATTCCAGTTTTGTTGTATTTCTAGATTTATATTAGTTCTCATGTTTTTCTGTTGTCCTCTTTTGCCCTCTTGTGTGTGTATGTTCCTTTCCCCTTGGCTCCCTCGTTGTCTCCTCTCACACCTGTTCCTTGTCTGCTCGTTAGCCCTCCCTTTGTCTCTCTCTCCTATATATGCTCACCCTCTGCTCTCACTCTTTGTTGGTTCCTTGTCTTTGCTGTCCTTCCGTGCTGTTGTCCACGTTCCTCGTCTCTCCCTGGGTCCTCGTGTTTGGTTTTCCCCAGATGTCTCCATAGTTCTGGTTTGCTTTTGATTATTAGTTGGATTTTTGCATTCCTGCCTTTGTTACTGTTTTTGCCCCATTAAACTACCCAGAAATCTCCTCAGCCTGTCTGCCTCTGCATTTGGGTCCTCCAAACCACAACCAAACCCTGACAATAGGAACCAACCAAGATGGACCCAGCAGAGCCCAGTCTGGACGACCTGAGGGACTTTTTCCTCAATCTAGGCAATACTCTGGACTCAATATCCAACCTTACACCGCCTTGGAAGAGGGTGAGTGCAACTAGCCAACTTAAACAGATTCTCCTCTCAAACTCCACACTCATTTCTCCCCCAGTATTATCTGAACTGTTTGAAGAGTTGGAGTGGAACCACCAAGCAGCCAGCGCCCAGCTCTTCAGCAGACCTCCACCACCCAAACCATCTCTTCATCTCCTCCCTACCCTGCTGTCAATCGCCTCCGGTCCAGTTCCACCACCTTCACCAGCTGTTGGTCCCCCCATGCCGTCTGCCTCCTCCAGGCGTAAGCGCAGCCGGGGTAAGAAATCCACTCCCTCTCCGGTGGGTCAGCCTGACGCCACCACTCCCTCTCCGGCGGGTCAGCCTGACGCCACCACTCCCTCTCCGGCGGGTCAGCCTGACGCCACCACTCCCTCTCCGGCGGGTCAGCCTGACGCCTCCACTCCCATGGGTCAGCCAGCTGCCAGCCTTAGCTCCCCTCATAACCAGGTCAGTTTCTCCCTAAATCTCAGTCGTCACCTCCATGACCAACAGCTAGCCCCATCCTTAAAGAAACTCATTATTACACCCCCTACAGTCAGTGCTCCCCATATTAAGGAGTCTCAATTATGGACCTTCTTTTATGGGGAGAGGGAAGATCTTTTCCTTTTCCTGCCACCTCCATCAGTTTCAGTGCCCATTAACGGGCCAGTTTC